GTTGGTGCACCACCCACCCACCCACTGGTACTCGCCTCTGCTGCACTCCCCTGACACTCAGTTTGTCAAGTCTGAGCCCTGGGTCTTATCCCTTTGTAAACTCAATGTTGGCAATTACACAGATTTAATGACCTTATCCCCTCTGTCATGTGACAGTGTTCGGGCCTGGTTGGATATTTAGGACCAAGCACTGCAACCTCAGTAGAAGGGGCTACGTTGGAGAGATTTCCTGTCCTGGGGACAACAGTTTCACCAGACAGGAAGTGAGGTTAATCTCCAGCAGCAATACGGTCACTCTTCAGAGCTGTCCTGCCACTCTGGTGCTTCCAGGTATTGGGGGAGTATTGTATCGCACACCTATAATATACCCCACCCACCATTGTATCGCACCCCTATTATATAAGTATCGTGCGCGCCCCTTTAAGACCTTCTTTACATGGTGAGTGAAATACAAAAGAAAACACTGATTTGTTTTTCGTACCATGTCTGAGCTATTGTGTAATGAAGAGCCCTGCATGGGTGTGTGGCTATTGGAGTAGCTCATGCTTTCTTCCCATGATGCAATGCTCGGGACTAGCATGTGTGAGTGGGAACTTATTCAAATCTTCTTGACCAGAGTTCAGCTTTAATAGCGCCGCTCTTCCAGTGTGCCGTTGGGCAGGTCCTTTATTTCTAAGTGTTCTGCTCGTGTTTTTTCTTCTGTGGGGAGGGGGGGGGGGATCTTCCTGAATTCAGACAGGCAGCAGAAGATTAGCTCAAGCAGGTTTAACCCTTTACTATCCACACTGAACCTACTAGGCCCGCGAGATGTGTAAGTGGAAGGGGTTTCTATGCGATACTTTCCCCCTAGTGAACACAAGTGGTGCACAAATAAGCAAAATTACAAAAAAAAGATAAGCGCACTACTACTGGTATGGTGGAAGGAATTGGATGGTGTATCAAGCAGTGGTAGAGGGTGTGCGGTCTCCTTTAACAGGTAGAGGCACCCTGTATCTTAATACAAACAAAAAGCAAATTAGGAGCGCTACTCCCCAAGGAACCGATGGTGGATATTGAAAATAATGTGCTAATGGAGATGATGGTAAATGTTAATAAAACCAGGTAAAGAACTCACTGTTAGAAGGGGACATGGAAGATTATTATTATTATTACATAGTATTTATATAGCGCCAACAGTTTGCGTAGCGCTTTACAATGTAAGGAAGACATTACAATTCAAGACAAGATGGTAAGGAGGGCCCTGCCACTGAGGACTGTAAGAGGAGGGGGAATTGATACATGAGGAGGTAGCTGTGGAGGGGGGGGGATCTCTCTGAATTCAGACAGGCAGCAGAAGATTAGCTCAAGCAGGTTTAACCCTTTACTATCCACACTGAACCTACTAGGCCCGCGAGATGTGTAAGTGGAAGGGGTTTCTATGCGATACTTTCCCCCTAGTGAACACAAGTGGTGCACAAATAAGCAAAATTACAAAAAAAAGATAAGCGCACTACTACTGGTATGGTGGAAGGAATTGGATGGTGTATCAAGCAGTGGTAGAGGGTGTGCGGTCTCCTTTAACAGGTAGAGGCACCCTGTATCTTAATACAAACAAAAAGCAAATTAGGAGCGCTACTCCCCAAGGAACCGATGGTGGATATTGAAAATAATGTGCTAATGGAGATGATGGTAAATGTTAATAAAACCAGGTAAAGAACTCACTGTTAGAAGGGGACATGGAAGATTATTATTATTATTACATAGTATTTATATAGCGCCAACAGTTTGCGTAGCGCTTTACAATGTAAGGAAGACATTACAATTCAAGACAAGATGGTAAGGAGGGCCCTGCCACTGAGGACTGTAAGAGGAGGGGGAATTGATACATGAGGAGGTAGCTGTGGGAAAGATCATCTCGTTGTAGAATCGGGTTGTATTCACATCACTGGAGGCATACTGGGTCCATCTTCTAAAATGGTACTGGAGCTAATAAGGACTTCATGTATGACGGGGTGTGTGGAATAGGATCACGATCCAGAGTGGGAGGTTTCACAGAGGTGGCAGATATACGTTAGAACAGCGAGTTCTTTTACCTGGTTTTGTTAACATTTACCATCATCTCCATTACACATTATTTTCAATATCCACCATCGGTTCCTTGGGGAGTAGCGCTCCTAATTTGCTGTTTGTCACAAATAATATCCGACACATTTTTATCTAAATTTTCTTTTACTAAAAAAATAATTTGCCCTTTTGCGAAAAAAAAAAAAAGATAGAGGTCTTAGTAATGCCGTCTCGGTGGTTTGTCTGCAGGTCGGGGATTCTCCGAAGCGCACAATAATGTCTGAACAAGACGAAGAGGAGGCAGTGGAGCCCACAGATTTTGTAGACCCTCGTTCCCCCACACATGGGATCGTGCGCACCCCTTTAAGACCTTCTTTACATGGTGAGTGAAATACTAAAAAAAAACACTTGTTCCATAAATTACCATGTCTGAGCTATTGTGCAGTGAAGAGCCCTGCTGGGGTATGTGGCTATTGGGGTAGCTCATGTCAGTGCATCACTTCAATGTATATATTTGATGGGTTATCTCATCGTTTAAAAGTGCAGGGGGACTATATGTCGCCTGTGTGTTCCTACCTGCAAACATGAAGCTGTATTTTCTTTAGAAGAAAGAGGTCTTCAACTGTCCGGCCTGTTTGGGGTCAGGTCAGCGTACATCTCTGGCCCTCGGGAGACTCAGGGGTCCATTTATAGTGGATTCCGCACTGCCCCATGGACTGCTTACTGCATATAGTTGCTAGTCACATCACTCTACAGGGAATGTGAACAAGTCCTCCTGTTTTGTGTTTAAAGCAACCGCTGTTTATTAACTGGGTCTATTACAGGAGGGCAGGCTTTGTGTCCAGCCAGCCTGATGCAGAGACCCTTCCCCAATCCCATCTTTGCGATTTGCATTGAGGATAAGATTTAAAGCCGGTCTCTGAGAACAAACCTCATGTAGTGGGGACGTACACATTTTATATAAATGTGTAACAGTAATACATTATTGTCTTATTCAGATTCCCTGAGCCTTCTGGCAAAGCAGCTAAGTGAGGTATTTGTATTAGAGGATTCGGTGGTTGAAGGAAGCCCTGCCGCTGATGTGGAATCTCCAGCTGCTGCTTCTGAAGAGCAGGCAGCGAGTGACCTTGCCTCCACACCTGTCTCTAGGGTAAAAGAGACCGAGGAGACGGCAGTGGAAAGTCCAGCCATCCAAGCTGCGGCACCAGCTGAGCCAACTCCACCTGTCCTACAACAGCAGAAGCAGCGAGGAAAATCGCCGCACGGTTCCGGTGAGTTGATGGCTAACATTCTTCTTCTCTAGTCAAGTGACTGAAATAGGAAATGTCTGCATTGTCCCTCGGTAAGCATTTGAACATTCTTTCCACTTGTGGAAGGCTGAAAATCTACAAATGTGTTGTTTTTTCTTTTATCATTTCCTTTTAAAAATTTTAGGTTTATTTGGTGTGCAACCAATCGGATTTGAGCGTGCTGAATTTATCTTTTTTTTTTTTTTTTTTCTTTTTTTTTGTAACGTCGCTAAAAACAATGCTGTTTGCTTTTATTGACTAGGATACAAGGGGGGTGAATATGACTGTTTATGGTTTCTAATTATTTTACTTGCCTATTTTTCCAGGTTCAAAAAACGTTCGCCAGCGCCCTAGGAAGGCCTTGATTTCTTCAGCCCCTGGCCGCTCCCCACTGAAAATCTTACAGGAGGACAACAGCCCCAGTACTGCTGTACAGAACAGACAGGTAAATATGTCTTGCTCTCCTGTGTGAGGCAGCAATGTTTGTTTAACCAACACTGGTGTGGGAGATCCTAGTGAATGGATATTCTGCATTCTCAGTAATGTCACCGGTCTCTAGTGAATGGATAGGCTACGTTCTCAGTGATGTCTGGTCTCTAGTGAATGCCTATTCCTCTTTTTTGGGTGGGTTTAGTCTGGTCACTGGCTTGCTCCACAACCAAAAACTCTCCTCTTTGCTGGGCACTGCTCTGTGTCCCCCTCTGACAGAGAGCAGAGCCATGTGGGTGGCGTGCCACAGGAGGTCGAGTTTTCCTCCCGCATCGCTGATTGCTGAGTGTTTGTAAATAACGGAGGACTTAGTATGTTTACTGTGTCCCCAATTATGAATGAACAGGAAGTGCTCTACATCACATCCTGTTCATTCATGATTGTGGATATAGTAAACATACTATCCCCACAGGTTATGAATCAACAGGAACACTCAGTATAGAGGATTCCTGTTCGTTCAAAACCGGGGATGCAGAAAAAGATTTAGGACACAACATCCTCAATCTCATTTTCTATTTTAAAAGTGAAATATCAGGAGTCTGTTTAGACCCCTAATATTTCCCCAAAGCCCCCAACAGTAAAAAAAGAAAAATATTAAAGGTTAGAAAGGAATAATTTTCCGGTTCGGCCTGTAAATTGGACTTCTTCTAGTTTGCACTCTGAAGTGCTCTGTTCTATGTCGGCACTATATGAATACTGGAAATTAGGGATGTACCGATACTAGTATCGGTACCGAGTATTTGGGCAAGTACTCGCTCAAATGCTCCGATGCCTGGTACAAGTACTTCCTGTATCAGGAAGCTGGGCAGCGCGTCTTTACATGCTGCCCGGTTTCCTGATTGGCCGGGAAGCGGCTCCATGCTCTCGTCACTTGTGATGAGAGGGCATGTAAGTCGACTTCCCGGCCAATCGGGCAGCGTGTAATGACGCAGCGCCCGACATTCTGATTGCCCGGGAAGCTGGCTTCATGCGCCCTCATCTCATGACGAGGGAGCCGGCAAAATCGGAAAGCAGGGCGTTGCGTCATTACTCGGCGCCCGGCTTCCTGATTGGCCAGACAGCTCCGGCTGGGTACCAGAGGAAGGCCGTGTTCTGGCTGGAGAGGCCCCGGGGGGTGGCAGGCTGGACATGCCAAGGTAAGAGTGGACAGACTTTCTTGTTAATCGGGAAGCCCGGTGGCGAGTCTTAACATGCTTCCTGAATGGGACTTCCGTTACTCGGTAATTGGTATCAGCGAGTACCGGAAAAAATAATCGGTACTAAAATACCGGTATCGTGCATCCCTACTGGAAATGAATTTACTTCATTATCTGTAATGTCACCAGTCTGTAAAGAAGTAAGACTCTAAAATGGCTGCCCTCCTGTTTGCAGACACGATCCATGTTTTCTGCAATTTATTTATGTTTACGTTTAGATTAAAAGGAGGTGAACTGTATGCGGTTTTATTATCCAGTATTGCTGTTTTTGGGGATGAATGAGCTACTGTCTAAATTAAATATTGCCTTCCTTTCCCTCCGCAGATAAAGAAGATCTCCTCCTTCCAGTCTGATCCGCCATCGTCTCTCCGGAGCCTGAAGATCTCTCACAGCGGCTGGGAGATGTCTCATAACAAGGAGAACGCACACTACATCCAGAGTGAAAGCTGAAGCCTTCTTACTACTCCACATCATTATAGAGGATGTGTATATAGACTGAATATGTTCTCCTCGCATACCTGCTGCTGCATGCAGACCCCTTGTACACTACTCATGTAAATATTTCTGCTACTTTGTCTGTGATTTTTCAATGTTGTACCAAAATAAACACGATTTTATGAAATGAGTGTGACTGGCAGTCTAGTGGCGTCAAATGGGGGGGAGCATGTGACTTCCTAGCAGCCAATTGCTAAGCTTGCGCATTGTCACATGACACAGTGGGTGATGTCACCGTTCCCTCTAAGCTAAGCTCTGACATCTAGAGGAGTCGGGGAGCACTGGAGAGGTGAATATAAAGTGGTTGAAGTTGGCTTTACAAAGACATTTAAACCTTTTTAAAACATGGCTAAGGTGATCATGTGTAACTGGTTTCATATTCTGGACACTCGAGGAGCCTTCTCCTCACTATCTTCATCCTTTCCTATCAAAATGGGTAAAAACAAGGTTCCCAACCAATCACAAGAGATAAAGATGCATGGTTGTATGAGGTATACTGCATGATTAGTCCATGGCCAGGTATCTTTCATAAGTTTGCTATTTGCTTGCCTAATTGGTGAGCCATTATGGACTTTAGCACCATTTTTTCCCTTTTGCTGCAGACAATGGCTTAGCGTTGCACAATGTTTTCTTGTGAAGCATTAACACGACAAAGTAATCTGCGTAGCTTAGTTATACTCTTAAAGGAGAACTATGGCCCAACCTTTTTTTGCCCATAGTTCTCTTTCTGATCACAGAAGAACATTTACTAATGTCTTCCTGTGCACCAAAACTCAGCATATAGCGGGCTATTGCCTGCTATATGCTCATAGCGAAAAGCTGTGCTGTGGCCATGAAAGATCCTGATAATATTATCGGGATCAACCTGCCACCTGATTGAGAGCTGGCTGTCTCTCATGCCTGCCCCCTCCCTATCCGTTCCTCCGGTCAGCGCTGGAGGAACAAAGGGAAATCCCTGTGGGGAGCCATGACTGACGATCACCACACTCTGCAGGGACAAGATCGAGAACTGAGTGTTCGGCTGTATGTGATCGCTCAATCAATAGAGCCGACGTGTGACAGTTTCAGTGTTACACTTCGGCTCTAATTATGGGCATGAGTGCATTTCACTCACCTCTTAATTCTCCTTTTAGCACACTTGCAAAGCAGGAATTTATCAGCTGCTATAAGTTTTTTTGTTTTCTTTTTTGTTTTCTTTTAATTTTTAAATGTTGGTGTTCCATAGAGGGCATCAGCATAATCCATAGGGTTTTACAGAGGCCGCAAAGGAGCCAACAATCTGATGTCCATATGAGTTCATGTAAAGACTGAAGTACAGGATATTCTCATCTTCACACTTTTTTAGTCTCTACAGTAAACAGCCTGAGTGACCACACAGGAAATTGGGGCTGGCAGAGTAGTCGCACCATGTGCAGTGAATTTTCCGAGATACATAAAGCCAATTAGACTTGTCATTTCAGTACATCAGTTCAGGACTCTCTCTGTGTTATCGGACATGGAGACGGCAGGTAAGAGGCTCTTCTGTCTTATTGTAGAAATGATTGTTGGGATTTAGGATTCATTCCAGGACATGACACTGAAACTGATGTCACGTGACTCAGAGAATAAGCCCTCATTCACACTAGGAAGGGCCGGCACGTACAGCTCTATGTGGGCACGGCTGTATCGGGCATCTCCGGGGAAGGACAGGTGCTGCGTGTGATTAGTACGCAGCTCCTGTCCTCTATGGGCGTACGCGGCCGTATGCCGCCCTTCGATAATCTGCTCTGTGCGGGTGTCCGTACTTGTACGCTGACAGGATGGATCCTGTCTGCGTTCAAGTCGGGACACCTGCACTTGGGGTGAGCGTAGAGCGGCCCTACTCCCATAGAGAAGAACAGAGGCTGCATACTAATTGCATGCAGCACCTGTCCTACCTGGGAGCTGCCCGATATGGCCGCGCACGGAGCTGTACGTACCGGCCTTTTCTAGTGTGAATGAGGGCTAAGGATCCCCAGATTCATTATCCTGGTGCTGCAAGATATTGAACACAAGATAAAATGTGAATATTGTGGGCTACAGCCGTGTCTGTCCTTTAAATTAGCCTTCAAAATGTTTTCCTGATGGAAGTCATATTTCATGATTACAGCTACTGCATTTATAAAGTGTCAGTAATATACACAACGCCTTACATACTGTACATTCATATCAGTCCCTGCCTTCAAGGAGTTTACAATCTGAGGTCCCTATCTCACATACACATATACTAGGTCCAGTTATAGACCGGAGCCAGTTAACCTTCCAGCATGTCTTTGAATTGTTGGGTGGAAACTGAATTATCGAGAGTATGAGGGAAAAGGGCATGTCCTTGCCGCTTTCCCAGTTATGTGGACCATTAGGAATTAATATATAAAAAGATGATTGGCTGAACTCATAAATGCTTATTTCCACCTCTTTTCCAATATATTGTTTTTTCAATGTAACAAAGTAATAATATAAAGCCCGGATGAAAGGTGTAGTGTAGAATAACACCGTCGGTAATTGAATAGTACATTTCTTATAGATATCACAAGTGGGACAACTTTGGAGGACAGATGGATTTGGTTCCAACAAAGCAGGGGTAGGCAACCTTGACACTCCAGCTGAGGTGAAACTACATATCCCATCATGTCATTGCATATCATGCCTGTGGCTATCACAGTCTTCTCAAAGGATCTGTACTTTCACCACAGCTGAGGTTGCCTACCCCTGCAATAGAGAAGGACGGAGGGGTCTGGTTTCAATAGCGGGAACGGGTTTTTGTTCCAACAGAGGGACAGTCACTTTGAAATAAAGGACAGTTGGGAGGTATGAGATTTGCTCTAGGGATGCACCGATACCGGTTTTTCGGTATCGAGTACAAGTACCTATATTTTTTGGGGGGTATTCGCCGATACCAGAAGTCCCATTAAGGAAGCCAGGCGGCGTGTAATGACTCCCTGCCCGATTACCAGGGAAGCTGTCTCCCTGCTTCCTCATCACCAGGTAACGAGGCAGCCGGACAGCGGATAATGACTCGCTGTCCGGCTTCATGATTGGCCATCTTCCCGACCAATCAGGAAGCCAGTCGGCAAGTCATTATAAGGCGCCTGGCTTCCTGATTGAGCGGGAAGCTGGCTCCATGCTCACTCATCACCAGGTAACGAGGGATCATGAAGCCGGCTTCCTGGCCAATCAGGAAGCCGGTTAGTGTGTAATGACTCGCTGCCCGACATCCTGATACCGGAAGTTCGGGTATCTGGCTAGGGATTGGAGCATTTGGGCGAGTATGAGTACTCGCCCAAATACTCGGTATCGGTGCATCCCTAGTTTGCTCCTGTCTCTACATAGGACTGGAAGCCACCATTGCTCTCCCTTCCTGCCCTCTATGTCCTTTCTGTGTGTTTGCACCCAGGCAGGACAGGATGCCAATGGGCTCTGCACATAACAATGCAATGTACAGGAGCCAATTAACCTTCCAGCATGTTTTTGAGTGTTGGGTGTAAATGGAATATCGGGAGGAAACCCAGGCAAACACATACATACCCTCTGTATGTGGCTCAGATGAATTTCTAACTAAAAGTAGGTGCACATAGGCCAAACAATACAGTAACCAGTTCCCCACTGCACATTTGGCTCCAATAGAGGGACAGTTGGGAGGTATGGGGTTGCCTCCTGTCTCTACATAGAACTAGAAACCCACCATTGCTCTCCCTTCCTGCACTCTACGTCCTTTCTGTGTTTGCCCCCAGGCAGGACAGGAAGTCAATGAGCTCTGTGAATACAATGGAAGGGTTTTAACCACACTGGCATTTCATGACTTATACATCAATATTGATAATCTCTACAGATAAAAACAGGAAAAAACTCTGGCTGCCTTCCTGGAGAGGGGTCATTATAACCCTCCTTGTGGGATCCAATATCATCCTCATCCGCATCATTGGAGCGCTGGGTAAGTTCTATTTTGGACACAATTACCTTTTATGAAGGGAGAGTCCATGGGACTCATTGGTCAAAGTGGCTGAAGGTAGAACTGTCTGTTTAGCTCACAGCATCTCATTGGTTCCTTCTCTTTATTCCTCCAGTATGATATTTATGAAATGTAGAAGCTGACTGGGTGTTATAAGGAGACAAGGACCATCCAAAACAACTCAATGTCTCCAATAATCGATGGTCCTTCTAATGTGTATTTGTTTAATTGTACGTGTTATGTCACCTCTCTCTCTGTGTCTTCCAGTTTATAAAGGTCAGTTGTTGGAGGAATCATGTACGAAGAGCACCCAGACTCTGGCAGGCATGTATTTTTTTGGGGGGGGATAAAGCATAGGGGATATTAAACCAACAGCTCCATATTGAAGAAACGTGCTTATTAATAGAATCAACACATATCAATAAAACTTAGAGCTAGTGAGGAATTCTGTGAGATTTGCATCATACGTTTTTAATGTAAAAACATTTATTACGAGTGCGGCGCCCCCCTTACTTCTAGGAGAAGGAGGAACTGACATTTCAATAAGGACTCACAGAGATGAGTCCTTAGCCGGAATGTGGGATGTAAAGCAAAAATGGGTGCCAGTCACTTTAAGACTCTCACATGGTCAGACCCAGATATTTATGTCCTCTCCCGGCATGCACCATTGGCCATGAAGCTTCTAGTGATTGGCTGGAGAGACTTAGCTATCCATAACGTTCCACTATTGGTTGCTCGGCTATGTGTCAAGGCTACACCCAGCAGCAGCAGATGGGATCAATAACAGAACCCTTAGGGAAAGCCAAATGAGTTCAGAGTATGTATCAGATAGACTGCATACAGTCCTAAATTTAAGTAGTCACCCCACTTTATTATTATTATTATTACATAGTATTTATATAGCGCCAACAGTTTGCGCAGCGCTTTACAATATAAGGAAGACATTACAGTTACAATACAATTCAAGACAAGATGGTAAGGAGGGCCCTGCCCCTGAGGGCTTACAATCTAAAAGAGGAGGGGGAAATGATACATGAGGTAGCTGTGGGAATGAATTATGTGAGAATGTGAAGGTTCAGTGGTTAGGTTGAGGTGGGATAGGCTTCCCTGAAGAGATGAGTCTTTA